GCCAAGAAACTCGAGCTAAAAAGAGAGCAATGAGTTGAGATTGTGCGTGTGTTTAGGGCTGCCGGAAGTCGGCTAATGCGACAAAAGTCTACCAAGTGCGGGCACACTCCATGATTGAAAACGTACGAGACGCCTCTTCGTCACACACAGCACCGCATGCCGCTCTGATACACCGATGTATGGGGTGGGCCGGTATAATATCAACACAGCGGCAGAGGGCAGAGGGTCCATCCTCGTCTTCAACAGCAAGCACATGGTATCACTTCAATGCCACCACCAAACGCTTTCTTCACCACGTCATTCTCCATTCGACCACCGATCGCAAAGATGGTTGTCTACCGCGCTATGGACGACACGCCGGCAAGCAAGAAGACGTGGACGCGCACCGTCGTGACGTCGCTGACGTTTTGGATCATCCTCGGCACGATCACGGGGATCCTCATCGGCCAGTTTGCGCCGGCGTTTGCCAAGGACGCGGCGCCGATGGCCCAGATCTTCCTCCGGCCGATCCAGTTCATCGTGTTTCCGCTCGTGTTTTCGTCGCTCGTTGTCGGTATCGCCGGCAACAACGACCTCAAGCAGCTCGGCCGGCTCTCGCTCAAGTCGTTCATCTACTTTGAGATCGTGACGACGCTGGCGCTCATTGTGGGTCTTCTTGCTGTCAACTTGGTCAAGCCCGGTGCGGCCGGCATCACCAAGAAGGGCAACTACACCGGGTCGGCCTCGTCGACGTTTACGTTTGCACACTGGATCAACCATTTGACCCCCAAGACGTGGGGGGAGATGATGGGCGGCTCGGGCAGCTCGGAGCTTCTCCAAGTGCTCGTGGCGTCGATCCTCGTCGGTGTCGCCACCGCGCAGACGCACGGCCACCACAAGCAAGTGCTGCTCGAGCTCGCGACCGCCGTCATGGAGATGATGTTCAAGTTTGTCGACATTGTCATCTGGACGGCGCCGCTCGGTGTCTGTTTTGCAGTCGCCAACGCGATTGGCGCCAACGGTGTCGGTGCGCTCGCAAGTCTCGGCGCGCTCGTCGCGACCGTGTACGGCACGCTCGTGGTGTTTGTCGTCGTAGTCTTTGGCCCGATCTTCCTCCTCTGCAAGATCAACCCGATCGAGTTCCTCAGCGCGATGCGCGAGCCGCTCGTGATTGCGTACACGACTGCGACGTCGGAAGCCGCACTGCCCAAGGTTTTCGAGTGCCTCGCCCGGTTCGGGGTCTCGCCGCACATTTCGGCGTTCGTTGTCCCCTTTGGCTACTCGTTCAACCTCGACGGGTCGACCTTGTACCTCTCGCTCGCGGCGGTGTTTTGCGCCCAAGCCGCGGGTATTGACAAGAGCCTCGGCGAGCAGATCACGATGGTGCTCATGCTCATGATCTCGTCCAAAGGCGTCGCTGGCGTCCGGTCGGCCAGTATCATTGTGCTCGCGTCGACGGTCGACCAGTTCAACATCCCGAGCTGGCCGGTAGCCTTGCTGCTTGGCGCGGATTGGCTCATGGACATGGCCCGCACGTTCACCAACGTCCTTGGCAACTGCCTCGCGTCCGTCGTCATGGCCAAGCTCGAAGGCGAGTTCCGCAAGGACGGCTGGGAGAAGAACTTGGCGTCCGAGGGCGACGACGAGAGTGAGGCGAGCGCCGCCAAGGACCACGTCAAGGTGCTCGAAGACGGGCTGCACTAAGCCATTTTGGACCATGTATGTCAAAGCTATATAACGTGATGAATGATGCCTTTGCTTTACCTTTTCGCTTCCCAAGGTAAGTATTTGACGGCATGTAATGGGTACAAGGTCGTCTCTTTGCACAACATTTGCGGCAAAAACTGAACCACGGTTGAGCCCTCATGGCTTCATATCCTTATCGAAATTCATGATCGAAATTAGCCAAACCCTGCTCTACGAGGACCGGGTGTAGCACGAGAAACATATTTTCAAGTGTCAAGTCGCCCCGCGGAAGCAGCCAGCCGCCAAACCAAAAGAAGATTGCAAAACAGAACATGGTTGCTCGTTAAGTGTAGTCCATTTAAAGGCTTGTGAGCGCTTGCATTATTCATTCGACGACTTTCGATTGGCAATGGCTGCAATCAGCTGCGCCATGGTGTCCGTCTGGCTCTTGAGTGCCGACACGATCGCTTCCATTTGCGCGGCCAACTTTGACGTCTCTTGGGCCTTGGTAGCCTCCAGTACGTCATCAAGTGTTGCATTGCTTTGCGCAAACGACCCACGGCTTGCTGCAAGGGACTCCCCGAGCGACACGAGGCCCTTGCCCACGGCAAGAAGGCCATTTTCGATGGCATCGCCCGTTGTCTTGGTCCTCTTCGTCCGACGCTCCATGTCGTCGCTCGTGGTTGTGACGATGGTATGGCTTCTCTTCTTCGCAATATTCGGTCGGTCGTGCTCGTCGACGACGATACTTTTGCTTGTCGACTCGTTCTCTACACGGTACATTGAGCTCGGCATCTATCGTTTGGATGGGACGAATATACCGTTCTCATCCGAAAACTCGATGGGATCGTCGAGTGCTTCCGCGGGGGGGGGGTGCTGTCTCGGACCAGTACGCCAGCATCACGTCGTAGTGAGCCGGGGGGCTCTCCGTCGAGGCCACCCGCTTTGAGGCCGACCACTTGGTACGCATCCGGGCAAACTACAATATTTGAACGTTTCCACCGTGCGGTGTGCGAGCCAGAAGATGGACCTTTGTGGTGACTTGGTTGGCCGAAAACGTGCGGTGCATCTCGCTGCTGAGCCGATCCGCCAGCGTGACGGCCGCCAGATTTTTCTGAAAGTTGTTTTTGGACTCGAATTTCTTCTTGAGCTCCGTCTTGTACCGGAGCTCGTACATCTTGGCCACGCTTGCGTCGCACCAAATTGCGGCCTCTTCCTTGGCAGGCGTCTTCATTGTCGTCTTTGCCTTCGCAACTTCTGTGTCCAAAGCTGGCGCATCTCGATGGTCTACCGCGTCTTCCCGGACGGGCACATCATTGCCGGGCGGCGCAGCACCGTTCTCGGTTACCGGCGCTGCATTGGCAGGCTGTGCGTCGTCCACGACCTTCTTGGCAGCCTTCTTACTCGGCTTCTTGGGTCGTCTCAGCGCCTGCTCGGGCATACTAAGTTGCTCTGAAAGGTTGAACTGACTCGGAGTCTGATGCAGTGCAAACTCACGCTGGCAGAAAGAAGAGTTTGTGTGTTATCCGGATGCCAGTTAGAATAGACCAATTGGACGCGAGTGTTTCGGGTATCCGGATAAGGTTTACCTTGTCTCGGACGTCGGCTTTGGCGTTTCGCAGGCGGCCATGTTCTGTACTAGTGTTGCAATCTTCCTTTGGTTTGGCGGCTGGCTCCTCCCGCGGGGCGACTTGACACTTTAAAATATATTCCGAGTGCCACACCCTGTCTTCGTAGAGCAGGGTTTGGCTAATTTCGTTCATGAATTTCGATAAGGATATGAAACCACTAGGGTTTCAACCCGTGGCTTTTGCCGCAAATGCTGTGCAAAGAGACGACCTTGTACCCATAACATGACCCTAAATACTTACCTTGGGAAGCGTAGATGAAAAACAAAGGCATCATTCATCACGTTATATAGCTTTGACATACATGGTCCAAAATGGCTCAGTGCAGCCCGTCTTCGAGTACCTTGACGTCATCTTTGGCCGCGCTCGCCTCACTCTCGTCGTCGCCATCGGACGCCAAGTTCTTCTCCCAGCCGTCCTTGCGGAACTCGCCCTCGAGCTTGGCCATGACGACGGACGCGAGGCAGTTGCCAAAGACGTTGGTGAACGTGCGGGCCATGTCCATGAGCCAATCCGCGCCAAGCAGCAAGGCTACCGGCCAGCTCGGGATGTTGAACTGGTCGACCGTCG